TTTAAACAAACACAAACATTGCCTCCTTTTGAGGTCTTTTGCAAACACAAATATTGCCTCCTTTGAGGACTTTAAATAGAATTTCCCACATAAAGTAGGGACTCCAAGACATGCATCTCTATTCCTACTTCTCATGGCAAAGAATCTAAAAGACAATGCGAAATGTAAACAGAATCAAAAACAATACCAAACGAACAATAGTCCGTTGTTTATCAGACAAAAGCAAAGAAACCTGACGGTCTTCGTGCAAACTTCACCAAGCAAACAAAAGCAATCAGAAATCAGAGGCACATGATAAGAATTCAAACATCGCAATATGAAAATAAATCACATGCGAAACATGCATCAAGCTATGGCCCTGCACAAAACAATGCTACACAACCAAAATAATCCACAAATCACGTAGTGCGATAAACTACCTTCCAAATCTTGCACAATGCCACAAGATGAGTTAGTAATAACAAGGAAACTTAATTTCAATTAAACGATCAATATCACAACTCAAATTGGGGCTTAAACATGAGTAAAACAAATTTAATCAAGCATCAGAACTATAACATCAATTTCCGGGCAGTAACCACATCATCTCATGAACTGAGCAAAAGTCGATTTAAAATCATCAAAACTTGACATAGATGATAAGAAAATACCAAAACAAGCTCATTTATGCATTAACCAACAATTAAATCGCACATTTATGCAAACTTACCGACTCCGGGCAGGACCACATTCTATCACAAAATTACTCGAAAAAAATGCGTCGAAACCGATGAAATTCAACATGAATGTCCAACAAACGCAAAACTATGCTCTAGTATGAATTACACAACAATTAAACATCAATTTAAAATGAGTTTTCACTTTCCAGGAAGACCCATGTACATGAACCGATATCAATCAAAATCGAGTTTAGAACTCATAATCGGATACATCAACAATATTTATCAATTCATGTAATGTCACTTGGAAATTACAACGACATTGAAACAAATAATTGACATCAATGTGTCGATTCCAAACCTTAAACAAAAATATTCAAGTAATGACACATTTAATTCAGATCAATTTTTTCAACGTCGAAAAAAATCATCATTAGATCGAATTAACATTGCATCAACACATGAATTTCACAACAAATCTCAACAATCAAGTAAATCAAATCACATTCGACACAAAAATTCATTCATAAATATTAATCATATTTGCAAGATCTACATGAATTCCCAAATTATTCAAACAATTCCACAAATATCCATCATCAAGACTCATGAACAATTAATCAGTTCCTCAAATTCAATTATTCAACTCATGCAAGTTCAAATAATCACTTAATTCAAAATCAATTCTCAACACAAAAATTAAATCAATTGAGGTCTAGAAGTTACCAAAATAACTTCGAAGAATTGAATCAGAAGAAGTGATCAGAAGAATTCAAGGAGAAGCACGCCAGAAAAGGAGATCGGACGCGGAGGGAGGCTCGCCGGAGACGCTTGAAAGGCGCGACTGTGAGTGAGGAGGCCGGTCACGGACGGACGAGCAAGGAAGGATGGTCACCGGGAGAAGAGGAGACCGTGCGGAGGTACAGAGAGAGAGAGAAAGACCGACGCGACTTTGAGTGGGAGAAAGAGCTTCCTTGCTTCTTTGAAACTTGAGAGAAATTGAGAGAAACTTGAAATTCTTTAGTGTAATTTTTGAATAATGAGAGGCAAAAGTCATTTCAATTTGAATTAAAAAAATATATAGACAAGCCCCTAAGTCTTGTTTAGCAAGTGAATTTTTGAGTAATGCAGAATTTTTGGCTAATTTCGGTGTATGACTCAAGAACAACCATAAGCTCATGACTTTCGGTGCATAATCCTGATGCGAAACCTGAAACAAAATCATCGATGACAAAATTTGTGACGCAGTGCCGAAAGAATCGTCCTGATAGGATAAAAATTAAGTGAGTTATGATTTTTTCAATGGCGAGAAACTCGGTGTCAAAATTCCTCTGTTTCGGGTGGTGCAAATTTTTCAACTTATTTTGGTGTATACTCGAGAAATAAACCACAAGCTCATAACTTTTGAAGCAACATTTGAACTCGATTCCTAAAGCAAAATCATAAATGACGAAATTTGTAACATTCTGTCAAAAGAATCGCCCGATACGATAAAAATAGAGAAAATTATGAATTTTGCAATAACAAGAAAATTGAGACAGAAAACCCTCTGTTTTGGGCTGCGCAGCTTTTCCACCGGTCGATTTGAGAAGCGAGCCATAACCAGAAGCTTTTGGAGCTCAATTTGAACTTGGGACCTGAAGCAAAGTTGTATCTAACACAATTTGTGACATCATGCTTTGAGAATCGTCTCAAACTGATAAAAATTGAGAGTTATGATTTTTATGAATATCGAGAAAACAGTCAACTGATCATCCATTTCATTATGGAATTTTTAGGTAATTTTCCCTTTCGGAGATCTTCTTCACATAATTGGCTTCCATCCAGAACATATGAAATGTAAGCGATGTCGAGACGAGTTTAATGCCCAAAGAAACACTCAAATATGATTTTCCGGTCACCAGTTATGAATTTTTGAACATCCGAGAAACAGTGGACCAACAAGTCCAAATTTCAAGGTATTTGCATATTCAGAGATCCTCCTTAAAGAATTAGCTCTCGACCCGAACACATAAACTGGAGAAAATGTCAAGAAGGTTCTTATGCTTGAAGAACTAATCCAAAATACTTTTCCGATCAGAAGTTATGCATTTTTGAACTGAAACTGCAAAACATTGATTTCTGGCTCAAGCTGATTCAAATTGGTTGAAATGCTTGACTTACTTTGCAATTCAAGCATGAAGGAGAACATGAGAGCTTGAGCATGATGATGACTTGATAACCCACTGATTGAATAGCTCAGAGAGATATATGGAGCACACTTGAATTCTGAAAACCTTGAGTTTCTGCTTTGCTGTACTGCCTGATAGAACAAATGTTTATGTAGCTTGACGCAGATAAATGCTTGGATCCCTTGAGAGAAAACTTAAAGATAGGAAAACGAGATAGACAAACCCAAATGATTGGATCTCTTGATGTACCGTGATGCTATGAGATGACAAAGGGTCTTAGGGGGAAAATTGGGGTATAACACTTGGCATCGAATTCTACAAGAGTAGTAGAGGCCTGATGATGCATCAAAGAATATATACAAGTGAGATACTCAAAATATTTGAGATGGGAGACTATAATGCAAATTTAACACATGGTGAACCAAGACTGCAACTGTCCAAGGACTGAGATGAAGATAATTTTGATCCAACTCAGTATAGAAGACTCATTGGATCATTAAGATACTTTTATCACACAAGGCCTGATCTAACATACAATGTAGGCATGCTTAGTAGATTCATGCAGAAGCCATAGGAATCACATCTTGCAACCACGAAGAGGATACTGAGGTATCTCAAAAGAACTCTCGACTATGACATTTAGTTTCCTACAATAGATGAAGGAAAAGAATGCAAACTAGTGGAATGCACTGACTAAGTTGGTGTGGTGATGTTTGGGATAAAAAATCCATAATTGTTTATATGTTTATGCTAAGTGGTGCACTCGTTGCTTGGAGCTTAAGAAAAGAACCATTAGTAGCGCTATCGTCATGTGAGGCTGAGTACATAGCTGCCTCCCTTTGTGCATGTAAAGCAACATGGATAATGAACCTGATCGAGGAGATTTCAAGAGAAGACAACGGAGCAATGATCATGAAGATCGACAACATATCTATTATCAATATAGAGAAGAACCCAATAGCAGAAGGAAGAAGCAAACACATCGAGATGAAATTCCATTATCTTCGAGAGAAAGTAGCAAGTGAGATGTTGAACTTAGAACACTACAAAACTGAGAATCAGATTGCAGACATCATGATGAAGGTTGTGCAAGTGGAGTTGTTCGAGAGATTGAGAACTATGATGATTGTAGATAGTTTAGACACAGTGAATTAGGAAGTGTGTTAAATATGTAGTTCTTTGTGTTAAGCAATTTGTAAGATTCGACAGAGTCGAAGTCGAATGTATTCGATAAAGTAGTAGTCGAGTATAATCTTTAACAGTCGAAGGCACTCGTATTCAATAAGAGGTTGAATACAACTTATAGTTAACAAGTTGAGTGTATTCAATAAGGTTGGATAACAACTAGTCGAATAGGGTTAGTTAGTTAGAGATTACTTGGTGTTTAAGTAATCTCAGTTATAAATATGTAGATACCCTACATTTGTAAGCAAGCAGTTCAATTAGAATTGAGACTCAACAAAATTCTCTTCTCTTCTCTCAAACCCCTAATTTTTCATCTTTCTCTCTTTCTCTCTCTCTCTCTCTCTCAAATTATCTCCTCTCATCAAATATTTGTGCGGCGGAATCATCTTATAACTAATATGTGGTTAAATCACTCAAGTGAAGAGAGAAGAACGAAAATTATGAATCAATCAAAAAATAATTGAATTTCGTTTCATCAAGATTGGTTCCATCATTTTTTATGATTCTACTTTATTTGTTTCATTATGATAAATATGTAACATGGTAAAAGTTTTCAAATGAAGGTGATTAGCCTTGTGGTAAGCGCTCTCCCCTATATCCTCACTTTGGATTTGAAATTTTTGAATTAATTTTTTTTTTTAATGTTTTAGAATTTTAAATTTATAAAAAATTGAAATAAAAAAGTCAACTTAATATTTAAATAAATTCAAATGATAAAGTCAAGTCGTCATTTTTTTTGACTAATTTGTTTGAATGATTAAATGAAAAAATCCTCACAGAACAATAACAAATATGTGTTGTTTTTACATGAACTTTTTTCCAATTTGTCCCATATAACCCTAATAATGAGAAGCAAAATTTGAAAGAAAAAAAACAACTAAATGCTTGTAATGGTCAATATATTAACTCTTACAATATTATTTTATTTTATTTTATTCTTCAACCTTCATAACTTTCAAGGGAAATATACTAACCGCGTTACACATCAAGAGTGATATTTTTTTCCATCAAATTGTCTCCCTTCTACCGCAACATTCTTATTCCAAGGGAAACAATGACCACCCCCCCTACACGGTCCTGATTCCTTTATTTTATAATCACATGTATGTCTACAGTCATCTGATTCAAAATCTCTCCTTTGAACATAAACATCAAAGTAGTGAACTTCACTAGCCCATGTAAACCTACAAAAATACAAGGTATCAATTGTAAAATAGTTAGGCCTAAAGGTAAAGGCAAAACTTTGTGAAGTTCTTAGTGTATGGACTCCAAGATCATCATCTTTAGATTGACAATGAAGGCCAAGCTGAATGTTGTTTTGTAAGGTGTTGGTGATCGTTAATGTTACTTTATCATTTTGGAATGAACTACTCTCGCCACCCTTGAATTGCAAAGCAACAAGAACAATTAGTAGCATAGAAAATAATAACACGAATTTGGAGACAGAAGCAGTCATACTTTCTGAATAAAGTGTTTGACACTATGGTTTTGAAACATATGATATGATTCTTGTTATATAGACTTTCAAATTTGAAGATTTAACTTTTTTTTAATAATTTTAGATTTATTATATCATACAAGATAACTATTATTTTATTTTTATTACTATTAATTATTAACAAAAAGATAACTACTTTTTTATTTATCATTAAGTTAATTAGATACTCTTTTTCAAATTCCTATTTAGAAGAAAAAGAGTCAAAAAAATTTATTTAATTTCTTTTTTTTTTTGTGTGAATATTAATTTTTTTTTTAAATTCCTCAATTTTCTATTTTTTTTTCTTACGAACTATTTTTCAATCTTTAGAGAAATAAAAGAGAACAAATTTTCTATTTATCATCTTCTCCAATTTATGAAGAGGCATTGTGTGATACGTTGACAGAATCGACTGTTATACTGGTTTTACGTTTGTGTTCGTAAATGTTGCGGTAAGTAAGAGTCGCCATCGACTTTTCTTTTATCCAAATTAAGGAAATAGTGAAAAGAACATAAAAAGACCTTTTTCGATATTTTTAGAGTAAGGGGGATAGATTATGGAAAGGGAAGGTGTTAGCACCCTTTCCATCCTTATTATCTACGAGCTATTAGAGGTTTGCTCATTTTTTAAAATACTTTTGTGCTTTGTGTGTTTTGAAAATGTTTGGAAAATGCCTTAGTGCGGCGATTTGCTTTGTGTTTAACTCTAGTATCAGTCCTCAAGACTGTTAACAAATCTAATATTTTGAAAATTGCATTTGAAAAGTAGTATTTATGTAAGTGCAAAATGTTTTTGAGCAAACTTCTAACAGCTATCTATTTTTATACTCGAAAAGGGTAGTCCTTTTTCTCTTATCCTTTAGACAGTGCTATCCTACTATTAGTGAGTAGGTAGCCCCATCGTTGGATGTATAAGAGACATTCGAAGGGACGTTACAGTCACAAAAGCAACTTATAGAGACGCTTTAACAATTTTGTTTAGGGACTAGATCATTTATAGAAAGTCAATTGTAGGATCATCGAGGGACTATGATCTTTTGATTTATGGGTCTTTGCTAAAGCGTTCCTGCCTCATGACTGTTTATTTCTGAAGGCAACAAAAGTGGGCGTACCTTAGAGGTGCATATATGCAATTGTGTTCAATTCAGTTATTTATCTTGCGTTATTGGCTTTGCTAACGTTTGATTTCAGTCTTTTCATACACGCTTAGTTACTAGCAGTTAATATTTTGCAGAAATTTAAAGTGCAAGAATTTAAATCTACGCTATTACAATGCTTTGGGGAGGGGGATATTTACATGTCTAAACTTTGGAGAGAATAAGGAAAGCAATAAAATAAAAGATTCCTAATGACAGTCTATTACAACCAGGAGGCAAATACAATAATATGAAACAGTGCGAAAGAAAAATAATGCACGAATTTGAAATGACGTCTAAGATCTTAAGAATAAAATCTTTTTTTTTGTTTTATTTTTGGTTTTTTTTTATAAAAAGAAAATAAATTGAGAAAAATAAAAATAAACCTGAATTCTAATATATTTTAAAAAAAATTGTGAGAAAATGATGTTAAAATTAATTAATTAATTAATTCAGAAGTTGATTTAATTTATAAAATCTAATCCTAATTTTTTTGTATGATGATTTTTTTAATTTTTATGTTAATTTAAAAAAAAAGAAAACTATAGAAAAGAAATGAACAATAAAAATAAAAATATAAGAAGAAAGATCGTTCGATCCCAGGAAAAGATAGCTTTCGATCCAATGAAGAGCGTCATCCTTCGATCTAGGGATAAGGTAGCCTTCGAACCATTTAAAGATGGCCTTTCGATCTAGTTGAGGATATTGTTAGGGGTGAATGTTGTATTCCTGCAGGAAATTTATTAGGGAAAACAAGACACAAGTCCAGATTTGGGTCGAATCTTGCCTTAGATTCGACAGCTTGTGGCTGCATAATCCTAATTAGGATCCTCTAGGTCTTAATCGAAGGCTACTTCATCTGTCTTACAACCTCATAAACCCTGAGATTTGAAATAAAATATGGATCGTGCCCAAGACATGGCACGACCCCAAACCCTGCGCTTAATCTTGCATGTAGCACATGAAAGCAATAACAAACATTAGCAACAACATGAATGTATGATTAATATAAATTTAAAAATTGCATGCTTAGCTAGTTTGAGATAAAAAATAAGTTACCAACGAATTAATTGTGAGTGATGCTCCAGAGAATGTTGGGGCTTGTCTAATACTTCGGAACGCCTTTTGCAGATTTCAGGGGGTGAGTGGAGCATTTTTGAAAATTTCTTCGATTTGGATCACTTATGAGATTTTTTTTGATAACTTTGGTGGTTTATGGGGCAAAGTATGTGTGTAATTGTCTATTTGGCTTGCAAGCACGCTGCTTATATAGAGTAGAAGGGAGGGGACAAGAAAACAATAGTTTAAAAAGCCATAAACAAATGTTTTCAAAGCCATGAATGAAGTTTTGTAAAGTTACAAAAGTCATGGAAACTTGTCCCTTTTTGAATTTGAATGAACCTGGACACACTTTCCTCCTTCGGTTGGCTCTTTTGAATGGACTTTCTGTGTATGATTTGTGCCCTCTTCGAATGGGCCACCAAGGTGTGTCCTTCGAATGGGCCTTTTGCATGCTTCTTCGAATGTACCTCTTGTGCACCTTCGACTAGCTCATGTTCTCATCACTAAGACTTCTTCGTTTGAACCCCTATCTAGCTAGCCCAAACGAAAACTCTTTCATGGCCAATGAATGTGCTTGTGCATGTTGGCTTGAAACTGGTAGTATCTTGGCTTTTGGACCAGCAGGCCTCTTTGAATATTTTTTTTTTCATTTTGACCAACTAGATCCATCCTTCGATCAGACCCCCTTTTTAAACAACAATATGCGTTTCCCATCAAAGTGTCCTTTAAATAGGCCTTTGTGTATTCTTAGTTTTAAACCAAATATGTGCTCTTTTGAAGGGGTCACATGCATGCTTTGTGCCTTCTTCGACTGACTCTCTAATGTGTGTCCTTCGACTGAACCTTTGGAATGCTCTTTCGATGGGGCCATATTGTGCTATAGTGCAGAAACTGAGCTGAGGAGTCTTGGCGTTGTGCATTGAAGGCAACAACAAACGAAGTCTTTGTCTTAGTGAATCCAAGGCAGGCGTGAAGGGGCTTCTGTCCTGGTGAATCAAAACACGCTTGTAGGGGGTTCTTGCCTTGTGCATCAAAGGCAAGTCGAAAGAAGCATTTTTCCTTGTGCGCTGAAGGCATACTGAAGAGGGATTATTTTCCTAGTTGAAGCAGGAATTAAACATGCTCTGAAGAAAACAAAATGCCTAATCGAAGCAGGAATTAAGCTTGCTCCAAAGAGACCAATTTCCCAAACAAAACAGGAATCCAGCTTGCATGCAGGTAGCCATTGCATTTGTGAATCCATCCAGCATGCAAAGCCAATGGTGCAATTGAAAGAGCAATAACAAGAAGCCCTTCCCTTTTGGATCGAAGGAGGCTGTTTCAAAGGGAACACATGCCCAGTTGAAGCTTGTAAACAACAAACAAGCAAAAGGCCAAGGCTTCAATTGAAGCTTGGAAATTTGAGGCAAACTTGGAGAAGGTTAGGCGCTCAATCGAATTCTGTCCAAATACTAATCGAAAGGCCCTTTAACATGCCAATCGAAAGAATTTATTAAGATGCCAATCGAAGGCTCCTTATTTATCTTTAAAAAAATTATTTTTTCCTTTAATCAAGTGCCCGCGACCACCCATATAAGAAAAAAAATCTTGGAAAACATGAGAGGGAAAATTTTGGGGTACAATAGCTTCCCCTGTTCAATCTTCTTAAACCTGAAGCTGTAGATTAGCTTATCTGCCTTTCGTGATTTGAAGGTGGAAGATGATTGAACACTAGAGTGCCCAGAAATTTTCACTCGTATGAAGTAACATTGGTGGTTGATGATATAGGGAATGGGATTACAGATGCCATTGGGAGGAGATGACAGAGAGTCGTCAGAGATAGGATGAAAGATGTCATCCAAAGTAGATGCTGATTTCACACATGGTCCCTTTGGGGGTTCTTGTTCCTGCTTTCTGTGGAGGAGTCCGTTGGGGAATGTAGGTTTATGTTTTTCTCCTGTTTTGAGGAAAACTCTGTGGGGAATAGAGTCTAGGAACTTCAATTGTCCAAGGCTCTTCTGAAGAGTTATCTCTGGAGAGATGACAGTTTTCTGTATTCTGGTTGAAGTCCAGGTTTCCAGTGATTTGTTGGGGATAATGGAATTAACCGTTATCTGAAAATGTATTAGAAAGAGCCTGTGTAGGGCTACCTCAGGATGAGTCCGTGTTAGTCTGCACCCGAAGATATATGAGAAGGAACCCGTATAAGATTGCTTCGTCTGGTCGTGTAAATAGTTTTCCTGTCTGGTTCCAAGTGTTAATCTACAAATCAATTGTTCGCAGATAGTTGTCCTGTCTGGTTTCAGGTATTAATCTGGAATTCTAAAATTGTCGGACGTCCACAGATAGTTTTCCTGGCTTGTTACAGGTATTAATCTGGAACTATGTTTTTGTTTGGTCGTTGAGATATTTGTCCTGTCTGGTTTCAGGTATTAATCTTTGAAGAAATAAAGATAGTTTTCCTGGCTTGTTACAGGTATTAATCTTCAATCTCTTCATGTAGATAGTTATCCTGGCTTGTTACAGGTATTAATCTACAATTGATCCTCCACAAATAGTTGTCCTGGCTTGTTACAGGTATTAATATGGAACTTGTTTTGTTAGTTACATAGATAGTATCCCCGTCTAGTTTCGGGCATTAATCTATAGCCTACTGCATTTGTTGGTAAACCCGTCTTGTTTCGAGAGTTCATACCATTTGGTCGTGCAAATAGTTTCCTCGTATGGTTTCGGGCATTAATATTTGACCTGTTGTAAAAATTGATAGTATTTGTCTGTTTGCTAATTTAACTTGAAAAGGTA